CATCTGGAAACTCATTCTTCTGTCATTTTCTTGATATACTTATATGATCATATTTCTTCTGTTTTTTGGTTTTTTGCTTCCAATTCTTTCTCTGTGGTTCCTAGTCATCTGATGCTGGACTTTTGGCTGGTCTTCTAATTTTCTTATCAAATTCTCTCCTATTTTCCATCCCCCTCTCTTACTGTACTTTCTAGATTTCCTTGACTTTATCTTCCAGTGTCATCAAGTAAGTTTTCATTTTTGCTCTTCTATTTTTGAATTTCTAAGAACTTTTTCTTAATTCTTTATATTTCATATTTTTATGGCATTCTATTTTTATTTAATGGATGCACTATCATCTCTTACCTGAGGAAGTTCATGAGATTTTTAAAAGACATTTTTCTCTCCCTACATAATTTCCTCCATGTGTCTTTTTTTTTTAATCTTTGTTTGCTTGTTGAGCCTCTATCTTTTATGATATAGGTTTTCTTCAGGTATCTAGTAATCTTTTGTATGCTTCTTTTAAAGAGAGACAAGAAGAAGCTAATTGGAATTTCTGAGCTCATGGGCAGAGCTTTTTGACTATAGGATTCATTGGGTGAATTATGGATGATCTGTCCAGTTGTTTGCTTGGGGAACCATCAGAGACAGTGTACAGATTGAATGACAGCTGAATATTTGCTCTGTGATAGTGCAATTTTATGTGTCAACTTGGCTAAGCTATGGAGCCCAGCTATTAGGTCAAACAACAGTCTAGATGTTGCTGTGAAGGTATTTTGTAGACCTGATTCACATTTACAATCAATTTACACTTTAAATAAAACAGATGACCCTTCAAAATATGAATGAGTCTCACCTTGAGCTGAGCTGCCACCCGAATGGCTCAGTGGATACAGCATCTGCTCTTAACAACAAGGCTGCTGGTTCGACTCCCGCATGGGATGGTGGCTATGCCCTCTCGCAACTAAGACTGAACTTGGCACCTTGTTGCATTATAGCCAATTCCGTTACCACCCCCCTACATTAGTCTCTGACCCATTAGTCGAGAGAGTGTCTCGGAAAACTGAGGCCGGATGGAATGATATCTGTAAAGCTCTCTCGGGGAGTTTCTCAGGTGACTGGGACCTATTGGAATGATAATAGTTATCTCCGCTGGGAGGACACAGTAACAGTGTCTTGGGGCTATGTGGAGGAAGTGTGAAGGCACAGGATGTGTTGGAA